GCAATTGTGAGAGTTAATAAAGCATCTGACTTGCTGTACCCAAACAAAAAGTGAGAACTGTGTTTTTCTCCGACACAACTAAGATTTTTGGTTGTTCCCCCCCCAATACTGGCAATAAAACTTTCTTTCCATATTCTCAGAAACAGTTGAGCCATTTGTTCTAAAACATTTAAAAAAAAAATTCAGCCTGAAGCAGACACCCACCATGGAAAATTTCAGCCCAGTTAAAGTTTAGCTAAGTTTTGAACAACTAAAAACAAGGTCTTGTAATAGGAAACAGTAGTGGGCAACTATTTATTTACAGGAGTCCCTGGCAGTTCCCATCTATTTTTTTATATACACACACACACACATATATATACACACACACATATATATACACACACATATATACATACACACACACACACAAAATAAAATAGATGGGAACCGCCAGTGACTCCTGTAAATAAATAAATGTGGGGGGAGGGTTGTATATAGAAGATAAATAAAACCACACACACTCTTACACATACTAATTTATAACAACCAAGATCAGGACCCACTATGTTAGGCACTGTAGATACACGTGTAAGACATTCCCTGCCCCAAATAGTTTTAGGAATAGCCTAGCCTGTAAAGATAAAAGCACCCTTTTAACACATGAATCATAGATCATGTGTTTAGAATATGAAACTTAACCCTTTCTTTCTCGCTCTCTCTCTCTCTCTCTCACACACACGTATATTTTCCGCTTAAAAACCTCCAGGATTTGTAAGTACAAAAATATCATATTCTTCCTTTTTATAAATCACCAGTCTTATGAATGTGGCCCCTACTACTGATATAACTGAAGGAAGAACCCTGCTGGATTTCTATCTGAGAAAGGAATTTGGGCTGCAATGGTAGCTTAGAAGTTTAATGTCCTTCTTCATAAGATCTCTTTCCCCACTGTCAAAAGGAGATGCATGTTTAGGAGGAAAGAAAATTTCAATATATAAAAAAAAATATGCAATCCTTTAGGATTTGTGAAGTACATATTGTTTTTTCATTAGCCTACAGTAAAGTAATTTTTATGGAATGCTTTTTAGTACTTTTTGGAGGAAAAAAGGAAAAATTAACTATAGGTAAGCACTTGTCACAAGAAACATTCTTTAAATGCAGTTGCACTTTCTCCACACAAATAATCTGAAATTTAAAAAATGGATTTGCAGCTTTATTCTGCTGTTTTCACTTTAGAGAAGTTTTTCCAAGTTCAAAAAAAAAAGGGGGGGGGGGGCTAGGAAGACTAACAAGTCAACCGCACTGTCACTGGTGAGACCTCATTTGGAGTACTGT